CAATTTAGTTTTAACCCAACCGAAGCTTCGTATTGAGGAGGAATCTTCAGTCCCAGAAATCCCTTGCCAACGGCTCAGGGTAGAATCAAACTTTCGTTTGTTCGTTGCACAAATGACTGATGAAATAGATTTTCAGTGTCAGCAGAGGCCTGCCATCCAACTTAGCAATAACAACGTTTTTCATCAATGCCACTCTAAAATTGTGAAAGTTTCGCTGCAAAGGAACGCTGCACGGTCACCTGGCATGAAAATTATCCTGAAAATATCGAAATTTAACTAAAATTGTACTAAAATTGTACCGACAAATTGAAAAGTTTAAGCATTTTATAAACAAAATTTTAGATGCTCCTTTCTATCAAACTGTTTAAACTTAATTTTATTTGTTTACTATATCATCGTTTGATCTTTTTTTCTATTATGAATTAAAACCAAAAATTGCTCCAATAATAAAAAAAATCATTTCTTATCAAAGGAATTTCAAACACGCACGCACATTAAACACACACACAAATACATATTATAATCAAATAACATAAATACTTTGTTCGACCAGTGACAAATTACTTGAAATAAATAAGTGATAATATTGTATGTAATGTTTATATATGATTTTTAATGAATCAAACGACAATTTTTTGCCGAAAAAATTAAAATTTACATTAAATGCTATGTCACAAAGGTCCTTAAAGCTCCTCATTCAATATAAAATCAGACCTCTCTTAGTAAATAATGCATGCAAAAAGACGAACGACACACGAACGTAAGCGAACGTACAATTTATCGAATGTTGACGTTTTTTTACAGTCAGATCGATTTTTCAGTCGTTTAATTCAATTTTTTTTAATTCTTTTAAATAATAATTTGAAAATATTAAAATTAATGTTTATACTTATATTTATTTATTTGAAAAATTCAAAATTGTTTTCCTTTGATAAAATTTCCCTGTGAAAAATAAAATTCAATCGTCTTGTTCACATTATGGTATTAGATCCGGTGATTCAAAGGAAAATTACGACACAAGCACAACCCTCCTTACAACGATGAAAAAATCTGGATAGGGTACTGTCCAGTTTGTCTAATACTAACTGACACAATAATCATTGAAATAAGCAAATAACAAAGAATGGAGATGGAAAGCGAATCACGAGCGACCGAATGAATTAATTTTGGCAGGCATTTCTCGCAATGCAATTGCCGACTGACAAATGATTATGATTGATGGTTTGAGCTTTCCAATGTTGAGTTTTTTGTCTTGTTAATTTGAATTTTACCGCATTATTTAATGAATCAGCTTTTCAATGCTTTTGAATAACTCACATCCAACTAATTTATAAACAATTTTATAGATAAATAAAATATTTATAATTTATTTCAAGTTAGGCTTATTGCTATAAAATTAATTCTAAAGTTTCAAAGCAAAATTATTACGAACGTCAATAAAATGATTTCAAAATTTGTAGTAGGCGTAAAATTATTTACAAGGCAGTTGCATTTAATATTTATTTACGCGTTCCTGACGATATTACGATATCATTAGGTACGCCAGATTGAAAACCTGACGAACGACATGCAACGCCGCCAGCCTGACTGACAAGTTTATTATCTGACGCAATAATATTTCATTGAGATTTTGCGGCCAATTTTATTTATATCATGATTACGTGTGTGCAAAGAAATATTACTTCGACTACAAAACAAATATTACACCGAGCCAGAACTACAACATCACTTCAAACCAGGGAAAGCGATGATAGAGACATCCACCCACCCATCCATAAACTGAGAAAGTATTTAAAATTTGCGACATATTTTTACCACATGGTAGGCATAAAGTGGCAGATCTAAACAACTCCGACGGGGAGGGGCCTAAATTTTCAAAAATATTTGGGGGAGGATTTCACAAATTTCGAAATGTCAACTACATAGTTAATTAAGATGGCTTGAAGATGAAATATTTTTGAAAAGATTGAGTCGCTGCACCCATTTTTAATAATTGAAATTAAAAAACTGAAACTTGGAAAAACAAATGACTTGGGTATGGATGTATGGATTGGCAATCAACTACGGGTTAGTGTCATATGAATGACATGTACCGTGTCTAAATTTGATTGGCTCATCAATAATGCAGCGTTATGCGTGTCGCGGTCTGATTGGACTCATTAAATATTTAGCAGACATGTGACGTTTAGTGATTTGTTCGAAGTTATTTGAAAAAGTCATCGTTTATTTATGCGCTGCATGGAGAATTAGGATGGTGATTTTGCCGAATGGCTAGTTAGTTATTAACTCGATTTAGAACTTGATTGATTTAATGTTGATAAATTAAAAGTTTCAATATGGTTTAATAATTTCATTTTCAACAACACTCAAGTTTCATTTTGTTTATAATTCTGATATCAAAATCCTTTAAAAAGACATTTTTTTTCAAGATTTTACTTCTAGTCCCTTGCATCACGCCATCTCTACAAAAACATAATTATAAATTTTTGCCAAATTCCAAATTATGTACGTAAGTATACAGTACATGAAGTCATTAGCATTACGGCAAGTAACTGGCGTTGAACTATGAAAATGTATCACTGTTCAAACGTTTATTTTATAAAAAAAAGAAGTAAGACCTTGTCATATATCTTCTTTGAGTAAGAAGTCTCATGTCAAATTATTATGTTTCGTGAAGGTCTGTAAAGACTGGAAGAACAGCAAACTAATAAAGAGTTGATGAGCAAGCCTTGGTTCTTCCCCACCGAGAGTTTTATTGTAATTAAGTGAGCAGTTCAGTGATTATCGGACCTGTATAGCAACAACCACAAAAAACCACAGCACCAATAAATACAGTAACAACCACAACAACCACGACAAAACAACAACAGTAACAACAGCAGCAACAACGACAACAATAAATACAACCACAACCACAACAACAAACAAACAACAAACCAAAAATCCTAACTTCTTTTCACTGCCGTAGTAACGTCAGTTAGGCAAGTGAGCAGCATGCAGCCAATAAGATTGCACGATTCAAAACTCAATTCTCATTGGATGAGTGGGAATGGCGAATAATTTTTTGGCCGTCTTAACTTTTCTCACAATGGGAGAAGCATCGATCTCTTCAAGACATTATCATAAAATATTAAAACACGGCAGTAAAGTGAAGTTGGCACAACACACTTTCAACAATATTAAATTGTTACAATAATTTCAAGTGGTTTCTTTCGAATGGCGACAAAAAGTTATATGGGGCGATAAGTTGTAAACCTAATTTGCATAACGTTTTTCATATGTATTATATATATACATATGTGTGTATATGTGTGTGTGTGTGTGTGTGTGTGTGTGTGTGTGTGTGTATGCGTCTTTACACACACACGTTAAAGTAACAGCGTCTCGAGTGATCGGAACTTTGAAATATCAAAGAATTCTTATCTAACAACTAGTTTGTCAAGGAGGACATATAAATACGCGCAGATATACAAACACACACACACATACATACACACTCACACACAAATACACACATACACACACTCACACATATATATACGTTCACACACAAACACAAAGAAACATCACACTACACACACACACACACACACACACACACACACACACACACATACACACGCACATGTAAAAAATTTCTTTCTACCACATGCAATAGGTGTGGCACATGATTTCAGAAGCCTATTCACGTAATTAAGAGAGAAATAACAATTATATTAATATATATCTAAATAAATAATTATTTATATACATATGTATATGTAACATATTGTGATAGGACATTTCTTCATTCATTCAAACATGCAATAGCAGTTTATGACTCGATTTATTGAGTAAAACTTTTGAGAGCCTTCAACGGGTGATTTTGATTTATTTGTAGCTGAGTAACTTTTAATATTTTCTGCCTGTTGAGTGAATGAGTTTTTATTGGCTTTTTAGCTGATGCCGTCGTCTGCATTCCGACAGTAAGTTGGACAGTCAGACGGAATTTTATTGCTCTTTATGACAAGCGCTCTTCAACTAATTGATCTCTTTTCAAATTTTATTCATTATTTAATTTCAATGTTGAATGATCCCACCAACTTGTTTGTAAATAAAATACGCAAGGTCTTTCATCGTGACGTTTTCGTCTCAAAGTTTCATATAACAATCCTGACAGGAACTTGTGAGCTGATTTGAAAGAATGGAAATCAGTTGATAAGATAGTTGTATTAAAAAGTAAGTAAGTCATCTTAATTCATGTTGTTCCTTTATATTTCAAAAGACCAAAAATGAACATCCTGTTTTGATCTTGAGTATAAAAATTAATTTTTTTTTCATTGATTTTTTGTACTGAAAATATTTCAATTTTGAAGTTGTTTTTTAGACAGTTATTGTTCAATGTAAAATTATTTTTAATTTGTAATTGTGGTACTATACAAATTTTAAAACTGGCCGACAAATGATTTTTCAAACCAGGCTTTACTGGCTTTTCAGGATGTCATGTTTTACATTATGTGCCGTTAAAAAACTATGCATCATTACAACTATGATATCAATGGGTCACTAACATCATACTAAAGCAAATTTTTCGGAAGCTCAAAAGTTGATAGCAGAAAATTTTGTTACGAAAGTTTTATTCATGTTGAAATGACAGTTTCTATTTGAATTTATCCAATTTGTTGGTTCAATGTTTGTTTAAATGTTTGTTTATGCGTTGGTCTGCGCAAAATAATTAAATTTAACTTTAAATAATTATTTTTAACATGTTTATTATAAAAACGGATAAAAATGAATGGTGCTGATACTGGTGATATATATCAACTAATTGTATGAACGAAAATATGAATGATATGCACGGTTAAGTAGGTACATGTGCAATGCAGAAACGCGCTAACTAGTCTATATAAGCACCTCCAATAACATACACCTGGACATTTCTTTACATCGTTCGCTGATGCTCCGCTCAATTCAAATGCTCGTATATTAGAAAACCATCGTAAGATAGAAATATCCCAAACATGTGGAGCATTGAAAAGTTGTTGGAAGGTTCAACTACCAGCATACGGCAACATCAGCAACATGAATCTACGGCAAAACAACAACATCAACAACGCGGACAACAAAATCAACTTCTGCCACAACAACATCAGCAGAAACAACAATGGCAGCAGCTACAACAACAACGGCAGCTGCCACAACAACAACCGCAACAGCTACAATATCCACATTTTGATAACCATTCCACTAAACATCACCACCAGCAGAAATTTCACAAAAATTTGTCCAATAAATCTGTATTAGGTTTTAAAAGCGATTCAGAAAAATCTAAACAGGAAAATAATTTACAAGAACAACAAAACTGGCAAGCTGTCAACAACACGCAATGTAAAATTCCTAAAACAGAAAATAAAAGTTCTCACCAAGAAAGTCTCAAAACGCAAACTGAATGTTCCAACTCGTTTCCGACATTGAAATCACGCCTAAAACCGACACCACCATCGTCACCACCACAAACTAATTTTTCATCATCGCCACAAAATAAATTATCGTCACCACCAACATCATCCCACTCATTTCCACATACGTTTTCATCATTGCAACATCCCCTATTTTTAAACAACAAAAATACGTCTTTAAAACATGGACAACAAAACCATCATCAACATCTATTACAACAACATCAGCACTTCCGGTTACAACTACGTCAATATTATCAACCGCAGGTACATTATCAACTGTGCCATCAACAAAAGCAACAACATCAGCATCATCAACAGCAACAACACCAATATCAACATTCTCACCATCAACAGCAACAACAACAACATAAACAACAACAGCAACAACAGCAGCAGTCAGAGCTGCATCAACATCTGTTTAATCACTTTCAGGCACCTCTTTTTACTTACAACTTCTCAAACTACATTGCGCAACTTATGAAGTATCGCTATCACTCAGCGTCTACATATTCCCAATATCAACAACAACAACAACAACAACAACTTCAACACAACCACCAACAACAACCACATCATCAACAACAACAACAGCAACAACATCAACAACAACAACAAGACTTGTGTCTACATTTGCCGCTTTCTTTTCCTCACCAAATATCATTTAATTCACTCATTTCCCGCAAATTTCCTTACGGTCAGTATTGTTCAAACGCTGGAGTTTTTAATAATGTAACAACAACAACAACAACAACAACAGCAGCAACAACAAAAACAACAGCAACAACTTCAATAACAACATTAACAACACTGAAATCAACAAAAACATCATCAACATTACCAAAACCATCATCACATTTTACAACTCCTTCACTCACAAAAGACGGAAAAAATGTGACATCAGCAAATGTTCCACAAACAAACAAGCCATCTCCAATGATGTCAATAAAATTACCGGAAACACCAATAACGACGATGACATCATCAAATACAACACCACCACCAACGACAACATCAATTGAAATTAGAATTATGATGATGGGTAAAAAATCTGATTGTTTGAAAAATCCCAAGCAAATTGGCGATGGTGAATGTGATGCAGCTGATGACTTTAATGCTGTGGCTGATGGTAATATGGCTAAGGATCAAAACTTTAATGATGATGTCCTCAATTACGTCATTTCTAATGATGACGTTGTTGATGACGCCGATGATAAATATTGCTGCACTTCCAACGCTGACGCCTGTTCTGATGAGTCTGAGAAGCAAGCAGCATTTAAGGAGCCCAAATATATTAGGAATGAATATGATGAGGAAGATGTTGATGATGATGTCGTTGTTGATGATGATGACGACAAAATGTTGGATGTCGTTGGAGATGATAGTGATGATTCGTTAGACGAATCGAATGCCCAGAGAAGCACCAGCAAAACATCGAGTGATGTGCACCTCACTGGTCGCCAGAGTTGTGCCAGTCAAGATGACCACTCCTCTGCAACTTGCAGATGTAAGAAGGATTTTGAAAATGAATTCAAAACTAGCGACAATAACAATTTCAGTATTGAACCTAATTTGAAATGCTTCAAAATCGACAACGACAGCGACGACAGCGACTGTGAAAACGACGGCAAAATCGACAACAACCCGAAGATAACTCGCACAAATGAAATCTTTCCCATTCCAAATTTAGACCAAAATAAATTTAATTTTTTTAGTAGTTTATTGCCCCACAATTTACTTCCACACGTTCAAACTGCCGACAAGCAATGTAATTTGCTTTTACCTGTTAGAAAAGCTGGCAGCAAGGAGGAAGAAGAAGAGTTACGTTTCTCAAGCGCGTGTCAGGCAATGCAGTACAGAGATGGGCTACTGCAACTCGAGCAATTGCAAGAACTTTTCTGGATGCAGCAGTGTAAGAATCAACAAATATATCAGGACTACTGTAATCGCAAACATCCATTCTCATATCAAACGCAATCTGACGTCTTTGGAATATTTCCAAAAAATCCTCTCGAAAACCTGAACAACATCCTCGATAATCTTTCGACGAAAACAAATTTGTTTACAAAACTTGAAACAAATTTTAATACGATAAACGCGGCCAAAAAAAACAAAGTAGGAAATGATGATCAGACATTTGTGAACGTGACTGGTGCATGTGCTGTCGGACATTTTGGAGATAAGAAGGAGTCATGCAGGTACGATGATGACGAGGATGAAAATGATGAAGATGATGATGATGATGCAAGTGCCGATGGCGGCTTGAAGAAACTTCTATTGAAAACAAACTTTGTTCAACAACAACACAGACGGTGGAACTACAAACACAACCAGCAACAACATAACAAACAACAGCACAAAAAACAACAACATAATAAACAACACAGAAATATACAACTCCAGCAAGTTGAACGTCAGCCATCGCTGACCCAGCACAATCATCATGAAAAATATAACAGTGCAGCATTCACTCGATGTATGGGAGGTTCACCATTGCCTGTTCTGACTGAAAACAATGGAGAAAGAACATTCGAAAGTTGTTCGTTATCACTGCCATCCCTGCTATCAAGTGTCGACGGCTCTGTTTCTACTTCCACATCGACTGCTGCTGCTGCTGCTACTGCTGGTCAGAACGTGAGTACTTGCTCTTTGAACAGTAAGACAATTTTAAAAACGAAATTCAATAATCCAACCTTCGTCAAGAAACGAAAACTCGTTGGAAGCGTGTTCTGCGAGGGAGGAATGAGAAGGCAGACCGGTGAAGATGTTGCTGACAAGTGGAGTTTCAACGGTGATGATGTTACGAGAACCGACAAACATGCAAACATCACAAACTTCAGCAACAAATCAAAAGCAGGCTCATACGGCACGGACACAAACATCAAAAAAATAAACATACTTGATAATATATCTTCACGAGACGACGATCTTAGCCATCGGGATTATAAACTCGTTACAAAGAGTTTAAGCTGTCGAAACGACTATGAAGTAAAAAATAAGAACAAACCAACTTTCAACAAATCGAACGTCGCTTCAAAAAATGACAAAATTGTTGTTGGAGGCTCTTTTCTAACGCTGAAGAAACATTTGATCGTCTGTCCGTCCTGTCATAAGCTCTTCAACAGTTCAAGCGCTTTAGAAATACACGAACGCACCCACACGGGTTCACGACCTTTTAGTTGTCCCACCTGCAACAAATCATTTACAACTAAAGGTAACTTGAAAGTTCACTTTTCATCTGTGCACAAACCCGGAGGTCAGAAGTCACGCAGAGGTCAAAGGTTGTCACTGTCACCGCAGAGACTTCATCGCGTTCTCTCACTGCTGCATAGTTCGAAGAATGCTGCTGCAGCCGGCTTCAAGTCAAAACATTTCACGGATTTGTCCATTTGAAAATTTAAAATTTTTTCTTCATTTTTCCCATTTTGTTTCGTAATAATGTATGCTCCAGTTGTTAACATTATGAAAGTGATATTTTATTCATTTGTTTCTTAGATTTCATCAAGTAATTTTATCTATACTTATGCATAATTTTATTTTTTTAGTCAGTTATGTATATTCACATCAATAAAATAATAATAATTTTTTTGATGGAATTACATATTTTAAAATTTGAATGTCAATAAAAAAATCAGTTTTTTTTATTATTGTCATTTAATGGACCAACAAGCATTTTGTAAGACGTTCAGCACAAAAAAACTTGCAGCCTTCCTATCATCATAGTATGGAACAAATGATAAAAATCAGTGAAAAGAAATAACAATGTTTTGGATACAAAACAACCTGAGACTAATATAAACACTTCGAGTCTTTGTATAAATTTCTGCTCCACGCCAGTAACACTATCCATTTCATTCATCTATCATTAATATAATTATTCCTAATTTTTCAAATTTACTCTAGACCTCAGAAAGTTAAACAAGCTCTGGAGGAGGTGATTATAGTATTCTGTGCGACCACATATGAAATATCAGAAACCTTTCACGTCACGCTTTTGAAAATAAAACCATCAAAACAACTTTGAATATCTTTAAAAACTTTGAATATCTTTATCTTGAAACAAATCTGCGATAAGTTTAAAATTAAAACAATTACCTCGAAGTTTACGAAGTTTCTACCTGCCTGCTCATTTTTCTTTTCCCGTCCTATTTAGTTCAGTGTAGTGTTTGTTGCTTCGTTGCCTTGACTGGAGCGCCTGATTTTGATGTGCAATGTCTGATTCAAGTTCAGATGATCTTTTCTATTATGCTTTATACGATAAATTCTTGAATCAAAAAATTGTAAATAACAAAATCACCTGCTCTGGTGATAAAATAACTTTGTTGAAATTGAAAATTAAATTCGCTCTAGCGAACAAAATGACGTTTGTTCGAGCTTTTTCCTAAGCAATTATTTATTAAAGCACTCATCCGCTCATCGGTTGGAATGGTTAGCAAGCAGTTAACCCTGTAGCTGCAGATGATACCTTACGCTGTGCTCTACTTACGTGGGACATGAGTTCACAGTAGACGCAGGGCTCCGTGCCGCCGGGTGCAGGCCTTATTCCGCCACTTCAAACAAATGTTTCTCTTGTAGTTTTATTTTTCACTGTAGATAGGATTTACGACGTTTCGCCTGTCACGATCTTTGAGATGTAAGATAATTTATATCTCAATGATTACGATAGAGCAGAGTTTAAATGTTTTTATCTTCCTTACAAAAGAAATGGCAGCAGTTGGGATGTGTTGCGTCTCTTTTGTTTTGTCACTTGACTGGAATAAAGCATCGTAAATTTTCCCAATTTGAGTTTTCGAAGGACTTAAAGCGTCTATACAACTTTCCGGTCTTGCTTCTCGTAATATAATGATAATGGTTTGAGCAAAAACGTTGGTGAATTTTCAGTTTATACTTTCCATATATAATTTTAAGGAAGAAAAATGGCACAGTTCTTAAATTGCTTCTTCTTGTCATAAGCCACATTTACAAAGCTGATGATCCAACTAAAAAGTGTCTGCAAATTAATTGCCGTTATTAAAAAATTTCTGTTGTTTCATCAAAAATGGGGTTTCATTTAACGACCAATTTTCCTGCTGGAATGAACTTCCCACCAGAGCAAATTACAAATGAACCGTGTACGAGAGCATACAATTAATTTCCAATCATTCGCCCAGCGAAGTGCTTCAAGTTATCAACATTGTTCTTCATCTTCTTATTATAATTACTACTACTTCTACTAATACTACTACTACTACTTTTACTATTACTACTACTACTACTACTGCTACTACTACTACTACTACTACCACTACTACTACTATACTACTACTACTTACTACTACTACTACTATTTTCCCTTACTACTTCTGCGTTGAATCGTTAAATGAGTAATAATATTTTAAAATTATCTCCAATGTTCAGTCACTCACCAGACCAAATTACAAATGAACCGTGCACGAGAGCATACAATTTATTTCCAATCATTCGCCCAGCGAAGCGCTTCAAGTTATCAACATTGTTCTTCATCTTCTTATTATAATTACTACTACTTCTACTAATACTACTACTACTACTTCTACTACTACTACTACTACTACTACTACTACTTTTACTACTACTACTACTACTGCTACTACTTACTACTACTATTTTCCCTTACTACTTCTGCGTTGAATCGTTAAACGAGTAATAATATTTTAAAATTATCTCCAATGTTCAGTCACTCCGAACCTTTTATGACGAATTTGAATGCTTCAAGAATGTACATGTACTAATGCGTTATACTACCAGTTGCAACAGCTGAGATAGATTAACTGAAAATATTTGAAGATATCATTTCAATAACAAACACATTCGTCAATGACATTGTCTGCCATGTATTTGTTTACGATTATACGCTTCCAACAATATTTCTTCAACGTTAAAATCAAAGATTCGTCATCAGTAAAAGGTTTGCAGTGTTTTTTTTAAACTTTAAGCAATCAATCGGCTTGCCATACAATGCGTCCACATTACCATTCCTACCATCGTACCAAATGTTTCATCAAAGACTCAAAAAATGATTTTGTAGTATTTTTATTGGAGAGTAAACTTTGTTAACACTCTTTGAAGGGTAATCCACTAATATAGACTAGGATTGAAATGAAATAAATATGTTCAAGATTGAATTGAAGACAAAAAATTCATGGGAACGACACATTACATCCATTCAATAAGTTACAAAGAAAGGGAAATTATTATTGTTTGAATGCGTTTTTGAAGGAGCGAATCATTTTTAAAAACGAATGAATGGATGAATTAATGAATGAATGAATTAGCTATTTATTTAATGAATGAAAGAATGAATGAAAGAACGAACGGATATATATATATATATATATATATATATATATATATATATATATGCAGTAATTTATAAAAATCTACCAAATTGAAATATTGAAAAATGTAACAAAAAACTATCCAACGCAAGAAATTCGGTAGATTTCATAAATTATTGCGTTAATTATATATATATATATATATATATATATATATATATATATATATACCATACAAACATGCATATATATATATATGCATGTATAGATGGATAAACGAATAAATGAGTAAATAAATGAATGAATGAAAAACGAATAAATAAAAGAAAACATAAAGGAATGAGTGAATATGAATAATAACAATCATTCAATAATAAATTTACCAACAGATGAATAATTAAAAAAATGCTAATATGTATGCGTTAGGAAATACGTATTTAAACTAACAACAGAATAAATAAATTAATAAATAAATAAATTAATTAAAAAACGTCAATTCAGATGGTTGAGTAGGTGTCTGGTAACAAATACATGTTAATATTAAATAATTAATTAATATGATACGCGTCCACGAATTAAATGTCAGTTGGTTGAGTTGACATGCCACCAAACGATAGAGTTGAAAACGAAGTTTATTAGAAATGATAACACATAGTTAAGTACGCATACATCGATTAAATTTATAATATCCAATTAATTTCAAAGTCGTCATTAGCTTCCAATTAGCGGCTTACAATGATAATCGACAAATGCTCAAATGTGGTTTTAATCTCTTTGTCATTGTTGTTGTGGTATTTGTGAGTATTATTAATTAGCTCTACCTAGCTCTAGCTGGAATTTGTGAGATTGTTTGTGTTTGTAAGGTGGTTTGTGTTGTTGTTGTTTGTGTTAATGTTTGTGTTGTTGTTGTTTGTGTTAATGTTTGTGTTGCTGTTGTTTGGGTTGATGTTTCACCCAGATGATGGTGATGGGATGAGAATTAGTTGGAAGAATTCTATCCAGCTCACGCGTTTTGTGGCAACCAAATATTTTTAACTATCTAAAATCATCATTTCAATCTAAGGCTGAAGAGTTATGCAATTAATTTGGAAAGAAACATTCAATCGAATCGTTTATTTATAATTATCCATTACATTACATATTAAAATTGAAAAAAAAAACATTCTAAGAAATATGAAAAACGGGGAATGATAGAACTGTTGTAAAGAAAATGGTGTTGCAGTCTGGTGTGGCAATCTTCCTTTCAACCAATGGTTTGAGTGCATTCAACGTACAACACAATTTATTGTGCACATTTCAACAAATATTATGAATCTGACTAATTTTAATCTCATTAGTATTGATGCATACATACATATAATTACACACACACATATACATGCATGTATACATAAACACACACCTGTATGCATGTATACGTATATACCGAAACTGCTTTATTGAATGTCCTATCAAGTTTATTCGCCGCTGCAGATGCTCAGAGAATATTATTACTATCGTTTTTGGATAGGTCGGCAGCGTTTGACTGCGTCAACCATGATGTTCTTCTGGCAAAACTGCGTCAAAATTACGGGGTAATGAATAATGTATATAGATGGTTTGAATCATACTTATCAAATCGGACACAACAGGTTTCATTTAATGACTCAGTATCAGAGGTTTCCATCATAACGTCAGGGGTACCCCAAGGCTCAGTTTTGGGACCCGTTCTTTTTCTCCTGTACACGTCGGAAATTACCAAAATAATCAGCTCCTACGGATATGTCTGCCATGCATTTGCAGATGATATTTAGGTGCTGGTTACTAGTTCTCCTTGTTTGTTCAAAACTGAAGTTGAGAGATTTATCGGATGTTTATCAGAGGTAGGACGTTGTATGTCATCAAACTCGTTAAAACTAAACGAATGCAAAACTCAATTACTTCCGGTTGGAACGTGGCAGCAATTGCTGAAAATTGATTTTAGTTCTGTTAAAATAGGAGATGTTGATATACCATTAACTGATACTGCTTCCAACCTGGGTGTTTTGCTTGACAACAAGTTATCATTGAAAAATCACATCAAAAAGATCTGTACATCAAGTCTTATCCACCTTAGAA